GGGCTCAATCCCTGAATGTGCTACTGCCAAAGAATATCTTGAGAAAATCAAGAGTCAGTTTACTGGGTCTACCAAGGCCACAGCAAGTTCACTGATTAAGAAGCTTGTGAATGAGAAATTCACTGGTGGTAGCATAAGAGAGCACATTTTGAAGATGAACACTACGGCATCCAAGCTAAAAGAAATGAATTTGAAGGAGGAGGATTTCCTGATTCATTTGATTTTTGCTTCTTTGCCAAAAGAATATGACACCTTCATTGTGAACTATAATATGCAGCCTGAAAGATGGGGCATAGAAAGACTCATCTCAATGTGTGCTCAAGAAGAGGAGAGGATAAAGTCCTCACAAGGTGAATATGCTCATTTTGTGAAGGACAACAAAAGAAAGAACTTTAATGGCAAGAATTCTAAACCACAAGGGAAACCTAAGTGGGATAAGACCTCTTCCTCCAGTTCACAGGGAAAGAAACCCCAGGATTCTGAGAATCAGCAGTATGGTGGAGCAGAAAAAGATCAGTGCAAGCACTGCTTCAAGAAGGGACACTACAAGAGGGATTGTCCAGACTTTCTGAAATCTCTGCTAAAGAAAGGGGTTAAGTGGGACGAGAACCTTGCAAAGAGGAGAAAGAACGATTAAAGTTGCAAATGGACTGCAAGCCAATGTTGAAGCCATTGGAGATTTTTCTTTAGAATTGAATAATGGTTTTGTACTTAGACTTAAAGAAGTACTTTATGTTCCCTCTTTGCGTAGAAATTTGATAAGTGTTTCGAAACTTGATGATGATGGAATTGATTGCCATTTTGGTGATGGCAAGTGTAAGATACTAGTTAATAATAAATGTGTTGGTCTTGCCTTCCGACAAGACAAGCTTTATTTATTATCTCTTGCTGAGAATGCGAACAATGTATGTGATGAGAATGTGAATGATTCCCCATCTGCGGATGTAACTAAGAAGCGAAAGAGAATTGATACTGTCTCTTCGAAATTATGGCATTGTCGCTTGGGCCATATTTCGAGGGGGAGAATGGAACGATTGGTTAAGGAATCAATTCTCCCGCACTTAGAATTTTCAGATTTAGAGCAATGTATTGATTGCATCAAAGGAAAGTATGTCAAGAAAATTAAGAAAGATGCCAAACGAAGCACGGGTATTTTAGAAATAATCCACACAGATATATGTGGTCCTTTTCCTGTGAAAAGTGTGGATGGTTATGACTCGTTTATAACATTCACAGACGACTACTCTCGTTATGGCAATATTTATCCAATTAAAGAAAGATCGGAAGCATTGGATAAATTCAAAATATTTAAAGCTGAAGTTGAAAATCAGCACAATAAGAAAATCAAGATAGTACGATCAGACCGAGGTGGAGAGTACTATGGGCGACATACCCCATATGGCCAAATTCCAGGACCATTCGCAAGGTTCCTACAGGAAAATGGCATAGTTGCTCAGTACTCCACACCAGGGGAGCCTCAGCAGAATGGAGTGGCTGAAAGACGTAACCGTACCTTAATGGATATGGTAAGAAGCATGATGAGTTACTCCACATTACCGATTAGTTTATGGATGGAGGCACTGAAAACCGCCATTCACATACTTAATCGAGTACCAAGTAAATCGGTGCCTAAAACACCGTATGAATTATGGACAGGAAGAGAACCCTCACTCAACCATTTGCGTGTGTGGGGCTGTCCAGCTGAGGCAAAAGTGTTTAACCCAAACATAGGAAAGTTAGACTCTAAGACAGTCAGCTGCCATTTTATTGGCTATCCAGAAAGATCGAAAGGATATCGCTTCTATTGTCCCTGACAGACATACGAAGATTGTAGAAACAAGACCTTATTTGTGTTCTTGGAGGATAACATGATCAGGGGGAGCATGGTAGCACGAGAAATCAGCCTACAGGAGAAGCGGGTACATGTACCCACTCCGATGGTTGAAGAACCATTCTTCACGCTACTGCTTTCATTGTTACCGACCGGTCAAAGGAGACAACATAGTGCCAACACTTGTTGCAAGTTCTCCCGTGGCGACAATGAATGAACATGAGGAACCTGTCCTTGAGGAACCTATCCTTGAGGAACCTATAGAATCAAATGATGCACATGAGGAAGAACAACAAACACCAAATGTGGAACAAGTGCCGGAGGCACCTAGAAGGTCTCAAAGAATAAGAAGATCAGCTATTATCGATGACTATGAAGTTTATGAAACAGAAGAATGTCAGATGGGGATGATCCCACCTCATTTGAAGAAGCCATGAGAAGCGACCACTCATCAAAGTGGCTTAAGGCCATGGAAGATGAATTGAAATCAATGAGTACCAATAAAGTTTGGGACTTAGAAAATATTCCTAAAGGAGCCAAAACAAGAGGGTTGTAAATGGGTCTACAAAACGAAATATGACTCCCAAGGAATATAGAAAGATTTAAAGCGCGACTTGTGGCGAAAAGCTTTCACGCAAAGAGAAGGGATTGATTACAATGAGACGTTTTCTCCAGTCTCATGTAAAGATTCCTTCAGAATTATAATGGCACTTGTAGCCCACTATGATTTGGAGTTGCATCAAATGGATGTAAAGACGGCTTTCCTAAATGGGGATTTGGAAGAAAATGTTTATATGGCACAACCGAAAGGTTTTGTCGTAAAAGGAAAGGAAAATATGGGATGCCGCCTGAAGAAATCAATCTACGGATTGAAGCAAGCTTCAAGACAGTGGTATTTGAAGTTTGATAGAACGATAAAAGGTTTTGGGTTTGAAGAAAATGTTGAGGACACTTGCGTTTATGCAAAGTTCAAGAATGGAAAGTACATATTCCTAATTTTATATGTGGATGATATCTTGCTTGCTAGTAGTGATATCAATCTACTAATGGAAACGAAGAAATTCTTGTCCTCAAACTTTGATATGAAAGATCTTGGTGAGGCCTCGTTCGTTTTGGGAATAGAGATTCACCGAGACGGGGAGAAAAGGGGTTCTAGGATTATCGCAAAAGGCATACATAGAAAAGGTCACGAAGAAATTTAGTATGCATGCGCATGCGATCCTTCACCGCTCCTATAGTCAAGGGCGATAGATTTGGGGAACATCAATGTCCCAAGAACCAATATGAAATTGACCGAATGAAAGCGGTACCGTATGCTTCAAATTGTTGGAAGTTTAGAATATGCTCAAGTGTGTACATACGACTTAGCTTTTGTTACCGGGTTACTTGGCGGATATCAAAAGAATCCAGAATTGAACATTGGAAATTAGTGAAGAAAGTCCTGCGTTATTTCTGTGGTACGAAAGGCCTCATGCTTACGTATAGAAGATCGATTCCCTGCAGAGATAGAGGGGTATTGATTCGATTATCTGGGAGAAGAAAGAAAATCCACGTCGGGATATATATTTACTCTCGCAGGAGGGGCTATATCGTGGAAAAGCTCCAAACAAATCAGAATCGCATCCTCGACAATGTATGCCGAGTTTGTAGCATGCTATGAGGCAACGGGCAGGGCAGGCGGTGGGTGAAGAAATTCATACCCGGATTGAAAGTGATTGATGATATAAATGAACCCGCTGCGATTGTATTGTGATAACAATCCAGCGGTACAGTACGCTCACAACAATAGGTCAAGTGGTGCTGCCAAACACATTGACATAAAGTACTATGTTGTGAAAGATAAAGTTCGGGATCATATAATAAATCTTGAGCACATAAGCACAGAGAAAATGCTCGCGGATCCGCTCACAAAGGGCTTACCACCCAACGTGTTCAGAGAACACGTAGCCGCATGGGTTTTAGAGAAAGCCTACGATTCCGAACATACTGAAGGGCCCAAAGAAAGTTTACATTTCAAAACGGAGAATTGTATTGTGGCTGTTAGTCTAACGGCACTAATTGCTGTGACGATGGGACAGTTCTATGCACTAATCTGTGATGAAATAGGATGGAAGCAAGAAAATATGAATTGAAAGTTTTGAGTATGAAATTAAAGAACGAAGAATAGATGAGAGATCAAGGGGGAGAATGTTAGTATTGATCTCCCACCAGTTAGGCCCAACGCCTAATCGGGCCTTAATCAAGGCATACGATCGGGGCGCCCAACCCTACATGGTTGGTGGGCCCCGTCGCCTGACAACCGCTATAAAGGAAGGTGGGGTAGGGGCTCGCATAATACGAGGTTCACTGCCTTGATCACCCCACCGACATCCTAAACCCTAGACCCGATCGAAAGTAGGCGCCGCCGCCAATGACGGAAGTGCCATCGACACCGCAACGCCACCCGACGCGTTCACATCGCCGCCGAGGGGCGCCACGCGCCGACTCACTCTCCACCGACCGTCATTGCCGCGCGCGCAGATGGCATCCAACAACGAAACCCGGCCGGAGCTTCAACAACTACGGCATTTGACGGTTTGCTACTTATCACCTATCTCTCAATCTCTCTCTGTGAAATCCGATTGATCTATTACTGTGCTAAGAAAACCGATCCGATGAACATACCTAAGAACTGTAAATCTAACAGCTCCCCTTTGTTGATGCCATTGCTGCTCATATTCCTAGCTGCAATTGCAGCAGTGAACAACATGGGGGGACTGTATCGTTGCAATCACCTGAGACCAGCGGCGGATCCAGAAAATATTTTAGGGGGACCGAGCAACACCATTTCTTTGTTTGATCTTAAGTCTCACCCCACACACAATAAACTTTGCTTTAAAAATTCATAGGGCTCTCTGACAGTAATTTGCACTGTTTTGGGATGGGTAGGGGCTTGGCGCCCCCGCCCCCACTGCTGGATCCGCCCCTGCCTGAGACAACGACGGCGGCGGCAACGAGGCTCCAGGCACTGGTAGATGTCCGCGACGCTCTGTCCACGGCCTCGGAGGAGATCCAGTTCTGGCCCTGTTCTTTCTCGCTCTACCATGTAGAATCTGCAGGGATAATCGACGAGATAAGTGACCTCCTGTCGTCCAAGCTGGGTAAACTGGACAAGGCCATCTGGGACACAATGGATGAGATCAGGACTGGTCTCATGGGTGGAACTGGAACTGGAACTGGAACTGGAACTGGAAAAGACGACTCTGCTTCAGCATCACCCGACGTTCACAAGCTCACCCGGTCCGTGATCAGCTGCATCAACCTGCTAGACAAAAACTACGTCCTGCTCAGTCGCATTGCATACGAAGCAGCTCAACTTGGTAGCTACCTGCCTGAGATCCTCGGAGTCGCCCCTCTGACCAGCCTCATGACGGAGATGTTCTCCCGTCTGGAAGAGAAGCTCGTCAGCATGTCCCACTCGTCGTTCCAGTTCCAGTTCCAGTCCCAATGCGACAGCCTTGGCATCCTATTCCTGATCAACAATTCGCACTTCATCTGGCAGCAGCTCCATCCCATGTTCGATATGGCCTTCCCCATGGCTGTCCTCAACCGCAAGATCGACGACTACATACAGAGCTACCTGCAGGTGTCCTGGGGCCCGGTGCTCTCATGCTTGTACTATGATCCGGGACCCCTGCGCCGGGGAAGGTACTCCTCCGCACTGCCTCTGTTCGAGTTTGAGTTCCACAAAGTGTACAGGACCCAGAGGTTCTGGAAGGTTCCAGACCCTGAGCTCAGGGGAAGGCTGCGGAAAGCTATCACCAATAAGGTCACTTCAGGCTTGAAGAAATTCTTGGAGGATAAGAACGTGACCACGCCGAGAATCACCCCTCAGGAGCTGGAGGACATGTTGCAGGAGCTGTTTGAAGGATGATGATTGATGAGCATAATAATATTTCATCATCTAATTAACCTTCTCCTCCTGGCGTGGAGGGGGCGTACGTGTGCAGCTAGCAACGAGATGTTCTGTGTGTGTATGTATCTGCATGCTCTTGCTTGTTTACTACTGTAATATATATATATATATATATATATATATATATATATATATATATACATATATATATACACATACATACATATACGTATATATAAGTGATTTATTATAACATTATGGTAAGTATCATCTTGAATTATAGTAACTCATGTATCGTAAATGTGTATTGTCATTATCGTAAATTGGTACAAACATTATCGTAAATCAAGGTGGCCATAGAATAAGTTATTACGTTGACTAAATTTCTTGAGAATTACCTTACCTATATATATATATATATATATATATATATATATATATATATATATATATATATATATATATATATATATATATATTAATGTACACTTCTTTCCTCTCATTTCCACTTAACTGAGCCTTAACTAAGATAGATGACCAACTCTTATTAGCTGAAATTCAAACAATATAGGTTTCTCGAAACTCCTCCTATATTGATGCTTATGCTGATTTGTGGTGAAAGGAAAACACTGTTAGATTCATTTGAAAAAGTATCTTTGAAGTAGTGCCTTGTGAGCAGTATGCCATGTTAATTCCTACCAAACGCGCTAGGAAAAAAAAGATAAATCCTATAAATTCTCACAATGATCAGAAACATCTAGCCTTTAATTTTGTAGACTCAAATCATCATGGTCGATAATTGCCATTACGAAAAATACATAAAGTAACCCCTTAATTTTGCATCTAAATTATCCATGATAATTCAAAATAACCCCTAAAATTATATATAAATTACCTACATATGTCATTATGAAAGATAATTCAAAATAACTGCTTAAATGTGCATCTAAATTACACACTTTTTGTAATTATGAACCATAATTCAAAAATAACCTCATAACATTGCATCTAAGTTACCCATCTTTTTTCATTGTAAAAGATAATTTAAAATATCCCTCTAACTTTGTATCTAAATTACCTGCATTTAGCATCATGAAAGATAATTTAAAGTACCCCTAATGATTTTATAAATTGCTCATCTTTATCATTATAAAAGATAATACAAAGTAACCTCCTAAGTTTGTCTTCAGTCCACCCATATATATCATTGTTACAAAAGATAATATGAACTATGAAGTATTACTTTTATATTTGTATCTACCTCAGTGATTATAAAAAAAATAAACAAAAATATCTCTCAAATGTACGTGTAAATACTAATATATGTTATTACTGAAAATAAATTAACATTCCTAAAGTATGTTAAAGGCTTCTACAAGTACAATCGTACATATGAAAACCTCCAGCGCATGCAACAAGGTCTTCGATCAGTTCATCGAAGATGGCACGCTCAATCTTCCTCCCAGCAACATAAACGTCCTCATACAGCACCTCCGCCCACACGGATCTCTGGACCTCATACGCCACCATGCCATCTATCGTCTGCATTTCCTGCGCCTGTGGATTATTCCTCAGAGCTTGCACCTAAAGTCATTCGAAACAAATTAACAAAGCTGCAGCCATTTTTTTTCTGTATAAAGTTAGAATATGTTCCTGCATGTAGGTTTCAACAACCGAGATGGCGGGATCACGCACTGACCTGCTGCCACACTTCATCTACGAGCTTCTTCCCTCGCGCCACCCCCGTGCTGTCAACGACCCATTGACGCAGCGACGACGAACCACCTCTCGAGCTCTCTACCACCAGGCTCTGCAACGCCTCGTTAGCAAGGTCGAACAGCATCCTGTGATCCGTTGCCGCAGTTGTACCTGCCGCCGCCGCCGATGTAGTCGCCGCGGTAGTAGTACATGTCCTCGAAGACGTCGTCGCAGATGGGCATCGGCCTCGCCATCGAGTCCACCCTAGCATTGGCCGACGACGGTCCGTCGTCGTCGTCGTATAAGCCGGCGGCGATGAGAACCTCTGTTATGTAGGCCTTGTCTCGGCTGCACGCTGCTTCGACGGCGGTGATGTCTGTCCTGAATGATGATTCACTGGCAGTGGCAGGTGCCTCGAATTCTGACAGGCATTTTGGACTCAGCTCTGCATATAGGAGACTATATCATGTTAAAAAACAGAAACTAATTAATCAGAGGATTGCTTGTGGTTTTGTTGCTACATTGAAGCTACTAAACCTGTCATATATATATGTACATTCATTACCTGACAAGGTGAAGTGCAAATCGCTGAAGAAATGGCGGGAACTGTGGCCCGCTGCAACCTCCAATGGGGACACTGGGCTCGGAGGCAGCTCGCTGAGATTTGCCTAACATAATAGCAGCAAGCGAAAAGCAACAGAATTTCAGTCAGTCCATTTTCCCTTGCTGAAACATACAGCATTCATATTACAGTAGCAGCAAGTAAATAAAGTACTCCGTAATAAGTAATTTGATGCTGATATTTACTATTAGTAGATATATCCACTTGCCTGTGCAACCTTGAACAGGTTGAAAGTTTCATGAGATGGAGGTGACGCTGCGCAGACGGACATCTCCATCTTAGCAGGATGGATCTCTGCAAGAGACGCCTTGTGTTTAAGCGAAGCAACTTTGTGCGCTGCTAACAGACATCTCCCGTCGACTCTCGGGCTGCTGAGCTAGCCCCGGTGGCCACCGCCGAAAACCGCCGCCGGCTGCTCCGGCCACAGACTCTCCGCCCGCTGAGCTAGCCTGCTGCCAAGGGAGGAGAAGGAGAACCCTGATTCTGGTGCAGAGAAGGACCGGAACAGCAGCCGTGGTGACGGCACAGCGTCGTCGTCCTTGTGCTTCGTCAGGGTCAGGCACTCGCTTCTGAAGCTCTGGCCGTCGTCAGGAACGCCGCCGACGCCTGGCCGGAGTACTGAAAGAGATGCATCCGACGTCGTCATCGATTCTTCATGGGCCGGTGACACGGTTTGGCTCTTCGTCAGAATGTAAGCCTCTGGAGATGCATGTGTTGTGGTTGTGGCGGCGTTGCGCTTGCGATCGCTTCTGAAAGCGCGAAAGGACTGTGACCGGCGGAACAGCCTCCTCTTGTTTTCACGGTCTTCCTTGGTCTCCTTGGTGACCTGCTGCAATGGTGGAATCGCCCAAGTTGGTGCCTTGATGACCTCACCACCTGTAGCTGTAGCTGTAGCTGTAGCTGTAGCGGCAGTGAGTACTGTGAGCTCTCTCTGAACCCTGTTCTTGACCTCCTGAAGAAGCACGCTCATGTTGGCATCCATGTGGAGCTTCGGCAGACCAAGCAAGACGGGGGTTTTCTGACCACCACCAATGGCAACACCACCTGTAGCTGTAGTATCAGATTCAGAACAAGTGGCAGGCTTGAGGAGCACTATCGGCGTGTGCCTGTGTGACGGCAGCTCTTGAGCTTGAGCAGCAGGCGCGCCGTGGCCGTGGCCATGTCCATGTCCATGTCCATCCCTGCGCGCGTCCAGATCTCTGTCGTCAGGCGTTGCTGCTGGTTCAGAAGCAGCTTCTGCATGCTCTGACGTGTCACCTTGTGGCACGGCATTCTTCTTGTTCTTGATCAGTGGAAGCTCGTCCTGCTGCGTCACCTTGCTTTGTTCCGAACCGAAACCATACCTGGCCATCTTCTGCTTGCGCAGCTTCTCCTGTGCGATCGCCTGAACAAGGGACCTGCCGCCGTCCGAGTCCGACGGCCTAGTAGCGTCACTTGTCTCCAGCGCCGGCGCCCTGGACGCTTGCCACGCCTGGGGATGACGCCGCCGGCGCAGGCGCGACGGCCTGCTCCGGGATCGGGGCACTACCATCATCTTGTGGAGGCAAATCCTGGAACTGGAACCACGATGATACTCTGCATCGTCGTTCCCGCCGCGGTACGAGTAGTGCGGCAGCAGCTGCAGGCTCCACTTCCACCTGTTGGTCTGTCGTCGTCGCGCTTGGAACTGGACGGCGCTTGCGACAGGCTTTGGCGGCAGGGGAGTCGGCACGACGGCGTCATCGTCGATGCCCATGAGACGAGCGATGACGTTCGGCTGGAGGTGGGCGATGGGACGCATTCTGTCGTCGTCCCTGTGGCTGTGGATCATCATCGGCTCTTCTTCCGCGGTGGCGGTGCTGGTGCCGGTGCCGGTGGGATGGAGACGGTTGGTGGTGGTGATCGGGTTGGACGGTGGCTTGTGGTGGTGGCGGCGGCGGCGGCTCATCGTCTGCAATACGAACGGCAGAGGATTGCTGAAAGGGTTAACAAGATCGAGAGGCAAAGTTGCAGGATGGTGTCGTGCGGACTGCGGAGGTTGAGCGCCAACCTTCAAGCCTTGCGTACGTTGATGAGCATGAAGCGGAGGATAAAATTACTAGTACTACATGAGAGCAGGAAATGAATCGGTCTAGTCACATGTCGTTGTCGTCATGGCCCTGGGAAAACAAGGAAGAAGAAGGTACAAGTGCACAAGCACTCGCGCGCACGAACAGGAACAGGAACAGAACCTCCTCACCAGACGCACTACCACTATGCTACGGAGGCCCAGCTTTGTTTGTAAGGCCGTCATTATTTATTGAGCTATCTTCCACCCAAACCAACCGGAAGCCGGTGAAGAAGCCGCTACGGCTCATGGAAGCCGTTGCTACAGCCTGCAGTGCTGAAAAAGCAAAGAAGTTGAAGCCAATACAAGAGAGGGACTAGACTTAAATATAAGATGATTTTGTTCAAATCTAAAGCTGCAATTTTTTTGGGAGGAGGGAGTACACCTTCCATTGCTCCTGGCAGTATATGTACTGCCGCCTATCACGCAATGCTTGCACCATTGCTTTGAACAAAACCACTCTGCGCCTCCCTCCGTTTCTCCCCCATCTATCAATCTATAGATAGATTCTACACTGGCGGAGCCACCCTAGCGGCGGGGTGGGGCGGCCGCCCCAGCTACCGGTGAGCTCGTCGCAGACCCCCGGACCCCCGCTTCTTCCTTAAACTCAGGTCCCCGGCGGCGAGGAGTCGCAAGCACGGGCAGAGCGACCTGCGCGATGGTGCACGGAGGAAGAAACCGGAAGATGGGCTTTTTCTTCACATTGTTCAGCCCAATAGAGGTGAGAGGCCCGCCCACCGTCGCACACTGCTTCCCTAAGCCCAATTGGCAACCGGTGGATTCGTTCCCCAATTCCCCAATTTGCAGCGACGCACCGACGCCCTAGGCGAGGTCGCGACTTGCGAGGAGTTGGTCGTCGCCCGGCCGCCCGCCGCCCACGGGCTAACAGGGCACCGCGCCACACGGACGCGGAGTGCCAGAGGGGCCACTCGCCCGCCACCACCCACCGCTCGACACACCGGCTCGCCACCCGGCCGGCCCGGCGCCGCCCGGCATCCCCGCCCGCCTCCTAGCGTTGTTGGCTTCTACTACTCTGCTCCGATGTTCGATGGAGGGAGGAGAGGAGGAGGTCCATCACGAGGAGGGTGAAGTTGTATATGGATTAAGTGATCAAGAACTATTAGTTTATTCTTCAAATTTGAGGTATGTGTACATACCACTTGTGATTGCAGCGTTTTTGTAATAATTGGGGTGATTGTAGACTTGTAGTATGTGAATTTTGTGTGATTGTAGTATGTTAATAAGATGCGATGTGAATGTGGTAACTTTTGGTTCATTTTGTCGTTGCAATTCGTCCCAGCTATAATTTTTTTCTGGCTCCGTCGTTGAGATAGAATGTGTACAACCGTTTTCACTCCTCGTCCATCAATCGATGAAATAAAGCACCTCCATTTTCCTCGTACTTGTTCGTTAAGATAAAGAAAAAGTAGGGAGTCCTGAGTCGACCGTTGATGAGGGGTGGTGAGTGCTGCCTGCTCTCTCTCATGGCTCAGCTGCTGTAAACTACAGTACAATAGATTTTTAACACAGGGTGAGGACGGGCAGGAGGACAGCAGAGGACGTCCCACTGTGCCTGGCCCTCCCTAGTCAGTCAGTACACTAGTCACTGTCAGTACCCTAGGAGCACATTGCCTAGAATCTCAACGGACACATACTGCAAATGGTCCCTGCTGCCTCCCCTCTTCTCTTCTGCCGTCCCCACAGCTCAAAATTTTCCACTCCCATAGTCCCGTTGCCTATCTCAAGTAGTACGCGTCCACCACCATGAATGATGAGCATTTTTTTTTAAAAAAAAATTGAGACTTGAAACTTGAGTTTGCTTAATCACTGCTCAGGCTCTGTTTAGATTGAAGCCGCTACGATTTAGACAGCTAAATTAGTTGCTAAACTTTAGCCATTTCTGTTTAGTTTGGTGGACTAAAAGAGCATTTTAGTCACATTTAATCAAGGTGTTTATATTAAAAGTGACTAAAAGATGAGGCAGCCTGAACTTTAGTCCCATTTAGCAATCTCTTGGTGACATTTAGTCATAGTGTTTAGGTAAAAGATGACTAAATGTGACTAGGCCCTTTTTGCTTGGCTAAAAAAAAAGCTAAAAAGCACCGTGGACTAATTTGTTATGAAAGAAAAACACTATTTCTTCGCTGAAAAAGTTCAGCTCACGAGACAAACCAGCTAAACTTTAGCAGGCCAATCGAAAAACGCCCAATCGAAACGTCCCTCAGCCTATACTACCATTTACCAAGATGAACATCATTGGAACCAAATGCTCCTTTCACCTACGAATTACCAAGATGAACATCATTGGAACCAAATGCTCCTTTCACCTATGAAACGAACGTTCTACTACACAGCATGATTTGTTAGTTTACAGAGTCTACCAGGCGCAATCATCGAATCAAACCACAATAAAAACCTGCACATGCATCTTCGAACCTTACCATGCCCACCATCAGCTCACAAACTTATGCATATGCGACCACCACAGCATAGACTAACGAACCACAGAACCAGGAAAAAGGTCAACCAAACTACCAAAGCAAAGGCAACCCAGTCGAATTTTCCAAAGAGGGCAAGGACGCCAACCAACCACCACAGCCCGAATGTCAACAGCACGCCAATCATTTTGCCCAGCTCCATTCCAATCCTTCACAAACATTCAAACTACACTGTGACCGTGTGTGCCTCCACCAACTACTGGAGTTCATGTATCACCCAAACGGCAATCTGCAGTTACACGTCAGGCACAGGCAATGCAAAGCAACAGATCCCAATAGCAAAGCCCAGAGAAACAATATAACACAAAAAAGGGATATGGAACACAATGATTACTTAATCTAACATTACCCAAACTGATATTATCACAATGTTAGCCAATGACGACAATGGAAACAGTAATCTAGGTACAAGCAGGCGTCTCTGCTGGTCCAGTGTGGCCACACACCAGACCAGAAGCAAAACCACCCGCCGGTGGCGCCAACAAGGAGCGCTATCCGTTGTAGCACGACAAAAGTAAAAACATCACGATGTGAAGTGAAACTGAATAATTCTAGTACATGGATATAGGCTCCTTATAGTTTTTCGCCACGGGGCCTTCTGTCACAGCTCCATTGTTGGACAAAGCATGGTCCATCGTCTCAGAGCGAGCTCCATCACTCGTCATCCTCTTCGTCCTGCAAACAAAGGGAAGACAGATTTTAAGACTTCCTAACTCCAAAGCACAATTAATCTGGTTCCAACAAAGCCTTGCACTCTAGACTTGTAAGGCAATCTACAAAATGCTAGCAGAGGGAGTACATATTTTAAGCCTCCATAACTCGAAAGGACAATGAATTTCTTTCCAAACAATGCCTTACATTCTAGACTTGTAATGCAATCTACAAAAATGCTATATAGATATATGAACCTTCCTATCTGGTGTATGGGTTGAATCCAATCCAATACTACCTACATTCTAGATTAGCTTATGTATAGCAACTTGGGTAACACATGAGCATGCTACATGCATTTTTCATGTGACAGCACATGTAAACAGATTAGAAGCGTTCAAGACGACATGAAAGAAATCTGCATACATGCATTTTTCAGGTGACAGCACATGTAAGCAGATTAGAATTGTTCAAGACGACATGAAAGAAATCTGCATACATGCATTTTTCAGGTGACAGCACATGTAAGCAGATTAGAAGCGTTCAAGACGACATGAAAGAAACCTGCATACCTCCTCACTACCCTCGTCGTCATCCTCATCATGGACCTCCGACTTGGACTTGTCGGACTCCTCTTCGTCTTCCTCCTCTTCCTCCTTGGCAGGAGCCTTCTTAGCAGCAGTGGTGCTCTGAACAAGCTAACACATGATTCAGTAAGGATAATCTTTACTTGTTCGAATAAATGACCAGCAGGAACAGTATATATACATAAGTAACATAACAAAGCAATTGAAGCATGCAAGTTTCTGTACCTCGCCCTTGTTGTAGGCAGCAATGGCCTTGTTATACTCTAGCTTGAGCTTATTAGCCTTGGCTACATAGGGAGCCTTGTCCTACAATCCACAAAAACATGTACGTTACCAATCAGCACCAGCTTTTAGTCGAATCTAACCACTACAACAACTACTTTTAAGTAAGGAGGTGTAATGTATGGAGCAAGCTTAGCTTACCGATTCGCTGAGGGATTTCCACCTGTCGCCGGCAGCTTTTCCCACCTGAAAAGTTCCACCAGGAAAGAGGGGAAAAACGAAAAAAAAAGTTCAGTAAACAACGAATCGAGACGATTAAATAAATTAAATTAAGTGGTTAATCGCAGCAAAGTCAAAGTAGATAACAGTACTATCCGTCGGTTGGGGAACTTACCGCGGCGACAGACTTGTTCTTAGGGTTCTTCTCCTTGAACTCCTTGCGGAATTGCTCCCTGTATACACATCCATCCAAAAACAGATCGAACCACAGCTCCAGAAACAGCAACAACGAAAAAAAATAAAGTGGGGGAATAAAAAAAGTCGCATCTCACATGAAGACGAAGAAAGCGCTGGGAGCCCTCTTGGGCTTGTTAGGGTCCTTGCCGGCCTTCCCCTTTCTGCCCTTGGCGGGCTTCTCCGCCCCCTTACTCTTCACCGCCAGCCTGCAGAAACCAATCGAACCGCCGCCGACGTCGACAGAGACAGCGAGGGCAACCAAAAGAAAAAGTCAAAAGCATGTCACGGCAGCGGCGCCATAATAATAATAATAATAATAATAACAACAACATAAATCGAATGCTTGGGACACCACGGAACAGATCTACGCGACGAACAACGAAGAAGAAAACCGCGAGATTCGTTTCGTTATTCTTACTTGGCATCGGCCTTCGCGGCGCCCTTGGATCTGGCCCCCTTCATGGCGGATTCGAGCGGCGACACGGAGCGCAGCGGTCAGATCCGCGCGGGGCGGAGCGAATCCCGCTCGCGGCCGGGCGAAGCGGGGACGAATCGAGGGGGAGTTGCCTCTGGCGGCCCGCGGGGATGTGGAGGGAAGGGAGGGGAAAGGGGGGAAGGCTGCAGGAAGGGGGAGGGCAGGCGCAGGGGATAAGAAGGAAGGCGTGGCCCAAGGGCATATCTGCGATTCCGCCCGCGCAGCGAGGGCCCGCACCCGCCTCCCAATTTGAATTCTCGTACCCGCCGGGACCTTTCCTCACGCCAACAGCATACGCGGCCCTCACTGACAAGCGGGGCCAGGGGATCCCGGGGCCCGACTGCCATCCGGCGCTCCGCTGCGACGGCTAGGGCTGCGGCCGCCCGCGTACGAGTGGCGGAGGGGTGTTCTCGTGGTTTCGTGACACCCCGGGGTGCTCCGCGCAAAAGCGGCGGCGGCAGGGGCTTGGGCGGGATTTTGGAAAATTTGGGCTGGCGGAGGGCCGAACCGCAGCGCAGGAGGGGAACGGGTGTGCGTGGCTGACGCGCGGGCCCCGCACGGCGGCAGATATTTTCCCGACGCGGGACTTGGGGGAGGGGGCGCCACGTCACCGATCCGCGAGAGCGCGTCTGGTTGGCTGGTGTGCGGGGGGGCGTGTTTGTGTGTGTGCTTCTCGCTGTGCTTTCTGTGAGCGCAATCCATCGCCTGGGTTTCCGGTTTCCGCAGCCGACCGTTTGAAATTTTCCGGTTTCGCGAGAAGAACATCCTCCGGCGGCGGAGTCTCGGCCGCGGCGGCGAGCGTCCCCGGTGAGCCGCTGGGCGGCCGCGGCTGTGGATGCAGCTGCCAGCGCTCCGCCGCGGCAGACGGCGATCGGCTTGTCGCTCCGGCCGGCCCGCCGCAGCAGGTGCGGCGACGAGCTACGCGGCAGGCATCTTGCTCCTGCTCCTGCACAAAGGTGAGCCGGCCCTATGACCTTGCTCTTGCAGCTTTACCCCTGCGGATGATCTTAGATCGACTGATTGTTTCCACGGCGAGATAGATTTGTGCTACGGCGGATTGCATTCCCCACCTCACCCCAAGCCTCGGGCCGTCCGCTGTGCGATCATCAGCTTATATGCGTTTGCCAGGTTCCGGATGGAACGACGCCAACTGTAGTTCATTCGGATGATCTTCGAGTAAATCAAGCAACAGTATTTACCTGTTGCATTGGCTGAACCCAATCCAATAATGTCTGCATTCTATACAACCGTTGATAAAAGCAACTAGTTTAACACAGTGTGCCTTTGTATTTTCGCAGGAAAAATACGCAAGAACAGGGGTGGGGGGGTGGGGGGGGCGAATCCTACATTCTAAAGGAGGTCAGGTGACGGCGTATGTAATACAGAGATTAAAAACTTATAGACGTCAAAGACAGATGTATTCTTCCTCGGTCCTCACAAGAAGGCAAACAACTCGCATTGTATAGGCGTGGGCAATTGCATTGTGTAGCTTAATTGGAGATTGCTATGATATTGATCACTCTTTACCTACAAAGGTGTTGTGTACCACATGCAGAAAAAAGAAGAAGAAGAAAAGAGAACCGTTCTAGTTCTACATGAGAAGAGCAATGCCCAATTTGTGTTTCGATGGTCATGGTATAGCTAGTCCTTTATGTACAGAAAGGGGCCGTGATTTTAGCATAGAAGATACTCTCATTTCTTGTGCGAAGAAAAGTTTGCTAAAGAGTGATGTTCTTAGGAAAACAAGCATCTTTCAAAAGTAACTCAAATCCAAAGAGCCCAAAGTGGTCCATGGGTCGAAGATGTCCCATTTTCCCATGGTCATGGTATAGTGACTACAGTCGTCCTTACATGCAGAAAGGCGCAATAACATTAGTAAGACATGCCAAAGAAAAAGAAGATAGTCCAATCATTGTGAAAATCACCAACATGTGCTTGGGGTTTGGATACTGTTGTATTTTTTTACGTAGGAAAACCAAGTTATTGGTGACTCTACCTTGCTCTTGAAAACTAAGGGTCCTTTGGAACACAAAAGCTGTATAGGATTTCCAGGGATTAATTCAGTTTTAAAGGAAAAATGTAGAATTAGGGTAAATTTCCTGTGTTCCAAAGGTACCAAAATTCTGTAAAATGTTATGCTGTGTCCATGCAAATAGATATAGCAATATGCAATATCCAATGTTTTTTTTGAAGGTCGTATCCAGTGTTATTGTACTGCTAGTGTTGTGGGTTTAATAAACTGGAGGGCCTTTTTTATTTGAGCAACAGGAAGACAAATGTGCCCCACAAGGCCAAGAGTGGTTTTATATAATTGCTAAAAGGAGGGTTGCCAACTGCTTCACTTCAAAGAGCCTCAACTCAATTATTGTCAGTGTGTTGGAACGGATTAGAAAAGCCCTAAGGCATATATAATGGTACAAGTAGCAAATTATAGATCAATGAATGAATAATATATAATTGCCTGTACAATCATAATGATGTACCAAACCATCTTCTTTACAGCCAATAAAACATAGTTGGATTATAATCTTTTATCCACGTCTTAGAAAATCTCATACTGCTCTACACAAGTGCCCAGGTCCTTGAAGAACAGGAACGCATTTGCAGGGAGGGATTGATTTGGCGCAAGATTTCACCGGAAAACATCCATTTTGGGCTCGGTTTTGAGGTTGGAACACCCGGAACAAATTCCACTGTCAGATTGGAACCGAAGGCCAAAGCCCATTACAAGCGCGCGCAACACCCCAGCGGCCCAGACCAACCCACCCAAGACAAAGACCTGAGGCCCAGTAGCCCACGTCCTCCACCGTTCCGACTACTTCCTCGCTCACCTTGCAGCGGCGGCGCGCACCTTGGAGCGTCCATGTCCCGGTGAGCCGCCCCGCCCGACAGCCCCTCCCGCGCCTAGCCCCCGCGACCGTCCACTGCAGCAGACCGCGCCGGCTCCAGGGCAACGCCACGCCTCACGGCCTTGCCCCGCTCCAGACTGGCGGCCCCTGCGACCCCGCCCAACGGCGCCGCTCCTCCTGGGTGACCCCTGCGGCAGCAGCAAGTGCGGCAAGCAGCTACACGGCCGGCCTCTTGCTCCTGCACAAGGTGAGCTGGTCTCTGCTCTACTCTCTCTCTCTCTCTCTCTCTCTCTCTCTCTCTCTCTCGTTTCCCCTTTTCATCGATGTCGTAGATGTCATGCCCTTAGATTTGTGGATTACGGATTTCCATCAAATCTCATGTCGTGTGCCATCAGCTTATGGATTTGCCAGGTCCCAGGTGGAAGAAGGGCAAGGACGGCAAGGACTTTGCAGCACTCGCAGCAGCCAATCCCATGTCGACCATAGTCGCCGAGCTCCAGGCTAAACTGAGGGACTCAGAAGCCGTGGCGACTCTAGCCGTGCACACCAGGGACGCGATTCTCGAGGTCGGCAAAGACCAAGCCAAGCTTCTGAACTGCGCCTCCTTTGGCCGCGCCGTGGGGAGTGCAGGCGCGGAGAGGCAGTGGTTCCAGCTGGGCCCCGAGGAGGTGTTCTTCCTTTGCCATGCCCTGAAGTGCGTCGCGGTTGAGTCGGAGAACGAGGCGCGGATGGGTGCGCCGGAGCTGTGGGATCTCTTGGCCTCCACCTCGGAGCAATTCCCGGAGATGTACAGGGCGTATGAACACCTTAGGCTGAAGAACTGGGTTGTGAAGTCGGGGTTGCAGTACGGGGCGCACTTTGTAGCTTACCGTCATCATCCGGCACTTGTGCACTCGGAGTTTGCGGTGATTGTGGTTCCAGAAGGGAAAGCATTCGGCACTACGTGTGGCTGCATGCAGGTCTGGTCTGAACTACTCTGTGCGCTCCGGGCCTCTGGAAGTGTGGCCAAGACGTTACTTGTTCTGACCATCAGCACCAAGAGCTCCGAGCTGGGATCCATGGATTGTTTGGAACAGATGATTGTTCATGAGAGGACGATCACGAGATGGATACCACAGCAGTGCCGTGAGCAACAAGACAAATCCTGCAGAGAAGTATCCAGCAACGAAGATCAAGAGCATACAAGTCGGGGTGTAGTGTTTAGCTATTGGGGTGTAGTGCTAAGCTTTACAGTTCTTTCTAGCTTACTTGTCTACAAGCTGAAATTTTGACTGAAGAGCTTCATATTTATGTATACTCATGTTGATGAACGTGAATAATGCAATTCTATGATGGTAATTTGTTGTTTCTCATTGAGGTTTCTACATATCTTGGATAACATCATCACAGACCCCACTTGACTGCAGACTGCACAAGAACATTTGTATCGTTGTTTCTTGGTAATCCTTTTTAGGCTATCACTTTTCAAGACTGCTTTGGACTGGCAATTATGTAGTCTGGAGGACTAGAGAACTTACTATCTGCATGACCGACACCACTGGAGGTCTGGAGCATATTGACCAAATGAGGTACACCAGATGCATTTCTTTACGCATATGCGCATTGTTTTTTGTGATGTAGTTGATGCATTCTATAATTTCAGTAGCTTAAACGTATCATAATCTTATGGTAAATTTATGTTAGTGAATTAACCTTTAATACAACAGAACTCAACATACAATAGCTTGCTAAGATTTCTGGAGTAAACATGTCCAAGAAGGCAAGAAAAACTGTTCTTACACGAAGTCTGTAAATTTATATATTTGGTGTATATATTTAAATTTAAACTTCTGCTTGACATTTTATCGTCAAGTGACAAATCTGCTTACAGTAAATAATGTAATTGGCATCATGATGGGATCTTCGATAGTCGTGAAGGTGACTAGGGAATAGGGAAAGAATGAAATTCACAATTGTGTCTGCTTCATATCTCTATTTATTTGAGGTTGCCAGCTTTTCCTGTGCAATGCCTACTACTCTATCTGGTAATTCACTGTGTGGTCCTTCCATATACCACTCTCAAGGTACTTCTCGTACAAGCTAGCTTCACCATCATAGTTCACTGATAAAACGGCTGTGCTCCGTGTCCCGTAGAGCCCCTTCACCAAAACAGAATTCATAAGTTCATTTCTGTAGTATTAGCCTATGCTTATGTACACAGATATTTGTAAGTGGCCAGATGATATAGTTTTTCAACTAGCTGAACCCTGAATCAAGAGATTTTTTTCTCACTTGGTCAGTTTGCACCTCGATGAAGATGGAGCTCAGACCATGCTCCCAGTTGGGATCACAACCAGTGTTTGGCAGTCTATCTTTGTCAGCCTTTGTGGTGTCAGTCATTAGCCTCTCAACTATATCCTTCACTTCAATCTCATCGTCACCATGCTCCCTAAGAAGCTCCCTGAAGTTTTTACCGAGGCGAATTGCCTACAAGTGCATAAACAACAATTAAAAAATCCCTTTGGGTACCTTCACACTGTCTTCATGAATAACGGTCTTGGTAGGGATGAATGGTCCCTGAGAGACAGTAGTAGGTTGCAATAATGCATTGTCATCTTATCTTACTTCTTGCACATGCTGTGCTATAAATTGAGTTAAATGCAATGTTGCTTATTACTAGGGAAGTACTTTAGATGGTTCACCTGTAGCTTTCTCATGCTTTTCCCAGCTCAATGTTTTCTCTGTGATCCATAATTTAGTGCAGCTAAAATGAAATAATTAACATGACACCTCATTGGCGTTCGGCATTTCTAGTTTTGTACCTACCAATATATGGTTACCCACTATACCAAATAAAATCGTCCTGTTCATTTTTATTTGCAAGGCATTTTGAGATTTTAGCTATCTACAAATCTTGTTGAACATGAAAGTGCTCTGCTTACCTTCTGCCAAGGGCTATCTAGCCTTGCATTGGACAGCACATGGAGTCCTGGTGAGACGAGTTGAATTGTTGCAGGCTGCCCCTTAGGCCGGTTTGACACATAGACCATGATATTTGTTGTTAGATCAGCTAGTATGAGGTTGAACCCATTGTATTCATGAGCTTCTTCTGCCACTTCAGTTGCAACTTCGAGTGGGCTCTTGTTGCTCTGCACGGTACAGACTGGATTATGCTTGCTATTCAGGAACAATGTTACATCGAAGATAATTTCATGTTGATTAGGAGTGGTTGATTAATCGTAGGTTCTTACAATGCTTGCTAAGTTATTAGTTGTAATAGGATGAACCACTAAATTGTTTTCAATGGTAATTTTTTTGGTTTATAATGGGAATGCGGTGTGAATATATGTTCCTGTGTGCGCCATCTAGTGTCTACACCAATCACTGTCAAAACGAAGGAATTGTCAGAGTGACCGAATCAGCTGCTAAGGAATGATAGCGACAACAAAAGTATGATGGAAAACACCAACTTGGGTTGTACAAGAAATGAATCTATCTTTCTCGGTATTACCTCAGCTTTCAGGTAAAGACTCAACGAGCTTGAATGATCTAGTGGAAGATTTTGATTTGTTTTTGCTATATATACCTGCAGGAACCTGAGAGGCAGATCTCCCCTAGTCCGTGCACCGGGCATGGCATCTGGTTCAAGCACATTGGTCAGGAAGGCAAGCCTGCCATCCTTGGTGCAACCCATCCATGTTCCTCCACCAAGCACGTCCCTGCCGCCAAGAATCTTCTTTGAGCCTTCTCCCCACCATCCTACTGCTTTTGTAGGCCTGCATCAGTTCATCAAGAAAAAGATACGAAGTGATGAACACTGAACAGCTAGCGTTGTTGTTTTGCAGTGGGTAACCTTTCTATAGCCTATAGATTTCTCTAGCAGCATTTTGCTTCTGAGAAAAGATATGAGCATGCACGTTAGTATATGAACAGTAGCATCACATATGTCAGTGGGGTTCATGGAAATTCTATCAGTGAACGTATAGCTTAGGAGGAAAAAAGTACCCAGTTTTCAAAATAGTACCTCATATGGCAGAGCTATTACTTGCAGATTGGGGTCCTACAAAGATCAATAAAACCAAGCAAGATCACGCACCTGCAGTGGAACTCATCTCTGTTCAGAATCAGGAGGAGTTGGTGCACAGGGTGAGCCTGCCAAATCCATGCAGCAATGCACATGGCTTCAGGTGGTTTCTACTCCTTGGTTGGTTGTAAGTAACTCGCTTGTTTTGCTACTATCTTAGCTGATGGTTCTGCCTTGCGCACGCCTTTGTATTTATAGGGAGAAGGTTGGAAGGAGAGCAAAAGCACAAGGAGCCCACAGAGTCTTTGCATTATTGGATGCAACCAGGTGCTCTGCAGTCTGTCATTCTTCTGCCAGAGTTCCATCATGTTCAGTTACCAGGTTATATTACTTCGCATGTGAGTTCCTGATTAGGGCCCCCTTCCCTTACTGTTGACACTGATTAGTACTCCATCTCAGGATAGCTTTAGTTTGATCCATCATTTGGAACGGGCTCTCGTACTGTTGACACTGATTATGTGGATTAGTGCGTGCTTAGTGCTCAGGAATGCAAAAAATTTCTACCAGCAGGGAAAACAGGAGGCGGCACTCTGTTCTGACTGGAGTGGTGTTGGTTTTGCAGGCCCCGGGAAACTCGGCCATATCTGAACAAAACCAAGGCGTGCTGGATTGGGATAAACAAAAGCGGTAAGCAACGACCTGATCTTTCGAAGCAATATATGACCCCTGTTTCTGTGTGTATGACCAGAATTCAGAAGGGGCCAGTACTGAATCCACCAATCATTTTCTCGTGGGTAGTTGGCTCTTGGCTGTGGTGGTTCACACGTGTTGAGCTAAAAGAACAGCATGCCCTGGCCTGGACGGCGGGTTTCAGGCACTCGTCATCTACTTTATATGTTTCCAAGTACGATGTCCTTTCTTGTTGCAATACATATCTGATCTTTTCCGCTCATGTTTATCCTGTCGTGTGATGGATGTGCTACCAATTTATAAATATATCAGTGTCGTGTGAGGATTCTTCTCTTTTAGCCGCAAGGTTTTCTGTTGATAATATATATACTGTTTATATAGAATAGAATTAAATAACTTGTTGGTGCCCTCATGGTACTGACACACACATATCAGGCCATACACTGTTTAAAAAGTTTGCAATGCATTCGTGCCTCTTAGAGTTTCCACGGATTGGATGCTATACCAACTAAAGCTCTTAAAGATTATTTGTTACCATTATGATTAAAAAATAAACTTGATGGCCAACAGCAAAGTATATAGATATCATGTGAAACTTTGCAGAAAGTCAGGATATTTAGTTGGACCTTTTCAAGGGGGGCACTGGTCCTGCATTTGGTATTGGGTAAGTTGTTGACTCCCATCTCACTTATTTGGTTTGGATGGAGAATAGTCATCTGGCACTTGATGGTTAGATATTTAGTGTAACTCTCATACAGTGGTTGACTCCCATCTCACTTATTTGGTTTGGATGGAGAATAGTCATCTGGCACTTGATGGTTAGATATTTAGTGTAACTCTCATACAGTGGTTGACTCCCATCTCACTTATTTGGTTTGGATGGAGAATAGTCATCTGGCACTTGATGGTTAGATATTTAGTGTAACCCTCATACAGTGGTTGTCCATCATTTTTCTTTTTCAGTATGTAAGAAGTAGCTGGACCATAATCTAGAGATTTTTCATCAATTACAATTCTGGACAACTAACTGTTCGTGACAAAAAAAAACATGTGTCAGAAACTAGCAGCAACTTAGTTTGGTGGTTTTGTAGTTTTGAGAATGAAGGTTGTCGTTGTAAAAAAGAAGGAAGGATGGAAGTAGCTAAACAACAAATCGCCATATTCGTTTGGCTTATAAGCCGTACTTTTTCAGTCAACGAATAATATTTTTCTCTCACAACACATCAGCCAACAGTAGTATTTTCAGGCATGGCTTATTAGCCAAACGAACAGGGCAATTTGTAGTTTTGAGAATGAAGCTTGTCATTGTAAAAAAAAGAAGAAAGGATGGAAGTAGCTAAACATTTATTGTGGGTCAGCAAAATTAAAGGACAATAACACAAGTGCTCATAGGTTGGGGGTCACTACAACCTACCATGTCGGCACCCAATTACACCATGCCCAGTGATGCACGCTACCACTTTGCCAATAACCAACGGCGGTGTGCCTTGCCTGCAATGCTGCTACTACAGTGGTTCTAGAGGGTGTTCAGATTCGGTGACTAAAGTTTAGGAGATGTCATACAAGGATGTCGTATGTGGTGTTTAAATACTAATAAAAAAATAAATTACAGAATCCGTCAGTAATCCACGAGACGAATTTATTAAGTCTAATTAAGCCGTATTAGTACATGTTTACTGTAGCACCACATTGTCAAATCATGAACTAATTCGGTTTAAAAAATTCGTCCCCAAAACAGTCTTAATCTGTGCATTTAGTTTTGTAATTAGTCTATATTTAATACTCTATGCACGTGTCAAACATCCCGCCACTAAAGTTTAGAGGAGAAACAACACCCCCCTTAACTTGCATGGAAGCGTCTCTTGTACCTTAGTATTTCTACAGTATACTGCGGATTTCGACGAATGAAATGAAAGTGCCGCAAACCAATTCCATGGAAGCAGACTGTTCATTACTGCATTCTGCCTCTTCTGCTTTAAAGCCACAAAAAAGTGGGTGACGGAGAGACTTGCACCCGGAAGCACTCAATGGAGTACAGTGCACTTGAAATCATGGCTTCTGGAAAGGGACATTTGGCTTGTCTCTCGGAGAGTACAGTGCATTGTGATTGTACATGGCGAGTCACTAAATGGAGTATATAGTACTTAGGGCTAACTATAGAAATTAGATTTAATTTGGGCGTAGAAGTTAATTGAATTTGGGACAAAGGGAACATATACTACTCTCTAACCATCACATATGTATATGTACCAGAGTTTTGTTCTTCCCTTGAGGTGATCCAACTCAATAAAATATTTTCCTTTTTTGAGACCATTATCATTTCTGTATTCTAATTGTATATACATGTGTACGTTAATACTCTGGTGAGGACGTCCGTATGGGCGTGTCCATCCGAACGCCCAGTTCCCGGGCCTGCACAGCGACCGGGCCCAACAGCCAACGAGCCTGCTCCATCTACGCTCTCTCATCCATCTCTACACTACCACAGCTGAGAAATCCTCAACTCCCAACTCGCTTCGCTCCTCGCGGCTCACTGCACCATTCGCCCACCCCAAGCCGCCTCGCCGTCGTGAGGCGTCCCAACCCGCGTCATGCCACGCCTTGCCCTGTCCCCGCCCCTGCGCGCCATGCCCCATCCCCCACCGCTGTGCGCTGTGCTCAGTCCCCCGCCGCATTGAGGTGCTTCCAACGCCGCCGTTCCCTTGGCCAATGGAGGAGCTTCGTGCGACGCCATCCCACTGGCGAGCTGCCCACGCCGCCGCTGCCGCACCGCCGCCGACCTCCGTGCTGGCATCGAGTTTCGCAACGACGAGTCTCCATTCTTCCAAGCTGCAAGGCGACACTGCGCTGAAAACACATATTGCAAGAGTATGTTTCAAGTGTTTCAATTATTTTATATGGATATTGCATGTGTGTTTATTTGAATGTTGTAAAAGTAGATCGGAATGTTGCACATGTTGCAATGGCTATATACGTATGTTGCAAGTGTATATTCCAAATATTTCATCTGTTTTTTTCAGACGTATGTTGCGAGTGTGTTTATTTGGATGTTGCATATGTTTCACACATATGTTGCAAGCGTTTTATTTAGATGTTGCCATGTGTTTTACAATGGTTTTTCATGTGTTTTTCAGGTGTTTTTGCAAGTGTTTTAGACGCATGTTTTAAGTGTTTCATCTGTCTACAGACGTATGCTGCAAATGTTTTATCTAGATGTTTCAAAAATGGATCGGGTGTTGCACAAGTTGCAATGACGCCGATGGTTGGCGGATAGCGGCCTGCCGCAGGGCTTTGGCTCCTACCTCGCGTGGCGCGTCTCGCCCTCTCCCTCCCCTCGCTTCCCTTCTCTCCATCTCGCCTCGGCGTTGGCGTTGGCGTTGGGATGGGGGTCGTCGAGGGTGTTGCGTTTGGACGCAGGCGCTGACGTGGAATGGGATGCGAGGTGTGGGATGCAACGCGGGCGCAGGTGCGGGAGCAGCGTCCGGGCCCTTGCGATATGTGTATTTATATGTGCGTGCTATAATAGGCCTCTTTGCAACAATCCCATTCGGCCCATGACTTTGGCAAGAAAATGGGCCGTGTTTACATGGGCTTTCTTCTTAAGTTGGCTCAGTCAGGCTTTTTCATCTAGGAATTCCTTTCATCTATCAGCCTCTTTCTTAAGTAGTCTTTGACTGAAGGTGTGTTCCCTTGTAGCAGGCCCTGTGAAGTTGGAATAGAAAGGTACATCTGGGGGCCTTTGGAGTTGCAGAATGTAACTTTGCTTGATTAAAACTATCTAGTTTTTTCCCCCTTATAAGACGAGGACATGGTATATATCATCACATACACGTTAGCATATATGCTGATGCCAACATCACATTCACATGATGCTCTCATTCCACCTGCCAATCACATGGAAGCATACTGTATGATGCATGTATGATTATATATTATATTAGAATTGGAATACAAACAAAGAATTGAAGGTAAGCAACGACTCAGTTTGCTTTTTGTACACATTTCTTGCCGGTGCCGGCCAATCCACTGCAACAAGAAAGGCATATAGATAATCACATGGAAGTTACACCTCCTCCTAACCGTCTTTGTACACCTTTGTTAAATCACACATAAAAATGATTAACGAACCGTATGTCTGTTGAAAGAATAAAAATGAATTCTCCCTAATCTGTTTTGTAGTATACCTGTACATCTCCGTGTCCGATGGATAATATATACCAGGAATTAAAAAAAAACTATGAGCTGCTGTGCGTTGTCCTTCCAACTGTCCGGTGAGCAAGCTTTTTGGTGAATCCAACACCAAACCACCTCCGTGTCACGTCTCGGAGCAGGGTGTCCTCCACCTCGCAGAACTTGTGTGGCCACCCGGCCGGTTCGATCGCCTCGAACCCTAGGCCGGGCGTGCGGTCCTTGGACCCATGGTTGACCCGGTCGGTCCAGTCCGCCACGTAGGTGGACACGCGGTGGCGGAACTTCACCTTGAACTCATCCCAAGCCTGGTACTTGTAGTGGTTCACCCTCGCATCCCTCGATTGCTCCCACTTGAACTCAGGCCGAAGCTCGAAATGGTGGACCGAGTTCATCAGCGATGGTGCTATGGAGTCGAGCCTGACGAGCGACTTGTGCCGTTCCTCGGCTCGCCTCCGGCAGGTGTACCCTTGGGTGACTCCCTCCTTGGGGTGCTTGGTGTGTCCCGAGGGCCCGAAATCCTTGCACCCTAGCATGACCTGCCCAACGTCTGGCTCAAAGGTGGTGACGACGGATCGGAGCATTGATTTGGTCGGCTCGCTTGACCCGGCCCAATCCGGGGAGAAGATGAACTCGTCAACGTCGACGAACGCCATCCACTCGCACGAATCTCGGTGTGCCGCAGCCGCGTAGGAGAACCCAGCCTCCTGCGTCTTGGGCCAGGGCCACGCGTGCGTCGACACGTGGAAGCCCTCCGCGCTGAGCTGGCACACCTGGCCCTCCAGGTCATCCCCGCTCCCGTTGTCGTAGAGGTAGAAGCGGTCGACGCCCACTGCCGCGTGGTAGACCACCCACTCCCGGAGGAACTTGGCCACGTCTCGGACCATGGTGCAGGCGCAGGTGAGCTTCTTCTTTGACGCCGTCGTCTGGGCTGTTTCGGCGTCTTGTGGAGGAGGAGGGGTGTAGGTCGCCACCGAGGGGATGGGGTCCTCGCCAGCGACGGCGAGCGTGACGCGGAGCTGCTGCGCCTCGGCGGGAGACGCGGCCGTGGCGGTGCTCGGCGGCGGCGGGCACCGGAAGACCTGCTGCGCTGAGGTGGTGGCCGGGAGCGAGGCGACGACGTCTCTGTCTCCGTTTCCAATGGCTGCGGTGCTGCGGCGGTAGTAGATGCACCGAATATCCGCGGCGTCGCGGTTGACTCCCTGGCGCGGGTTGACTCCCTTGGCGAAGACGAGGACGCCGTCTTCGCCGTCGAGCGCGGCGGAGTCGTACACGAGGCGACCGCTCCACCGCATCATCTCCGGCGTCAACGACCGCGCTGCCGCCGCCGCTGGAGCGGCGTCCTCTTCATCCACCGCCGAGGACAACAGCGTGGCGACGACGAGGCGTGGCGCGCGGAAAGGCCTGCTGTGGCGGCGCTCCGGCCTCGGCATGGCGCACGTGTAGGCTTGGCGGCCGGACGCGGGCATCCTCCCGAGCAGTCGCGCCGGGGATGTGGCCCCGCCTGGGAACGCGCACGTGGCGTTGCCGGAGGGTAAGCTGTCGTCGTCGTCGGGGCGGAGCAGGACGAGGACCTCCCAGTCCGGGAGCAGCACGGCGTCGAGGTCCGACAAGTCCGAGTCGTGCTGGCCCTGGCCCACCGCTCGTGGGGCGACGGGCGAGGTGGGCCTGTCCTCGTCCCTCCGGACGGCGCGGAGGGTGGTTAGCGGCTGTCGGTGGCGGCGCGGCGGCACGAGCTGCAGGGCGCGGCGCGCGGGCGTGAAAGAGGATGACGGGGTGGAGGTGACGAAGGCGAGCAGCGCGGCGAGGGAGAGGGCGACGAGGAAGAGCAGGCGCAGTAGGGCCCTGGTGGTGGCGCGGCGGCGCGGCGAGGGCGACGGCGGCGGCGGCTGCATGGCTGGCGATTGGCCCATGATGATGAAGAAAACGCGGGCTGGGCTGCTGGCTTCTTCTCTTTGTCATCAGCTGTATGCTCGCGTGTTTTGAATGGAATTCGACGCGAGTTCGTTGGGCTCGAATATGGAAACTTCCTACGAACTAGGCTTCGGTTAGGCTCTTACTGTTCCTGTCTATCCTCTGTTAGCGTGTTTGCTTGCCTGGCCACAATCGCATCTAGGAACCAGGCTGCAGGGATACAAGCTGCCTTTGTTTGCTTCATTGAACGGCGTGGCTAGCGCCATGCTTGCTCCGTGTCTCAGTTCTCTGAGGCGGTGATGGATCCGGGCATCCAGGTGGCCTGCCTGTCCATCCACTCGCTGGCGCAGCAGTAGAACGGAGGCAACCGCTGAAACGAAACGACCAGCTGAGCCTGCGTCGCGTCTGCGTGCGGCGGCGTGACGGGATGGATCGATGCAAGATGGAAGCCCAGCCCACCGCCGCGTGCATGGGTACAACGGCGGATACAGTGAAAAATTTTAGAGGGGCTGAACAAAAATACGACAATAACATGCCTCCGACTACTGCTCGTTAAGTCACAATTTCATCTACACGATAGAACTTTGTCTATAAATTTATAGGGGCTACGGTACCGGTAGGGGGTCTCGAGGCCTCCCCGGGTGAGGAGGAGCTGGAAAACGTCGACGAGATCACGACAACCACGGGCGATCTCCAAGCGTCGCATCGCACCAGTCGTGGGTCGTCCTCTGAATCTGGCGACCGAAAAGACAAAAAAAAAAAACCAAGCTTCGTTCCTTCCTTGGATTTCCTCTCAATCACAGCACAGCACAGAGTTCATTCAGGTGGTGACAGCAAATTAAAGTGCCTGCTGCCTGTCGGTGTCAATCGTCACTTTGGCAGTAGCAACCGCGCTCGGTCGCTACCACTACTCCTCTGTTGAAACATGCCACGATACGATATGATGATCGACAGGCGCACGGGCACGGCGTCTTCGTGCGTCGCCCCTCCTGCTGCTTCCGTGTTGCTTCCTCTCCGATGTCCTCGTAATATAAGCAGAGGGCAAGGACCGGCGTCTGTCCATGCGCGAGTCTCTTGTGTTTAGCAGAGAACCTCAGATCCAACTACCTGCCTACCGATACTGATCTGTTTCTCTGTTTCGAAACTGCAATGAAGAGCCGGGACCCGTGGTGCCCCTGACCGAAGCACCCGTCCGCCCGCCTCCGTCTGCAGCCCCCCCCCCCCACCCCCAGCGCGCCGTGCGCACTGTCCTCCTGCCCCCACGCCCACCCTCACGACCGAACAACGTAAAACACTTGCAACATGAAAAAAATTTAAATGCAACATACGTCTGAAAAATAAATGAAAATATTTAGAACATGCACTTGCAACATGTGTGTGGAACACATGAAACATAAAAAAATAGCACTTATATCTTGCAACATGAAACCACTTGCTGCAACATAACACTGAAACAACTGAAACATTTTGGTATATACTGTCGCAACATATGAGTAAAACATATGCAACATCCAAATAAAAAACGATTGCAACATATGTCTGAAAACAGATGAAATATTTTGAACAAATACTTGCAACATCCATCTGAAACACTTGCAATATGTGCAACATCCCCCGATCTAATTTGGCAACATCAAAATGAAACAATAGCAACATACATCTGAAAAGTCTAAAACAATTAAAACATACATATGCAACATAGAGGAGGGAAAGGTCGAGGCCGGTCGATTCCAACCGTCGGGGTCGAAGCCGGCAGCGAGCGACGCCGCGAGAGCACAACCGCCACCGGCAGCGGGCTTGGCTCGGCCGAGTGGGCGCATTAGCACCAGCGGCGCGTGCATGCACCAGCGCCACTAGCACCGGTCTTAGCTCGGCTAGGCAGGCGGCGTGTGCGCCGGGTGGAGCGGGCACCACCAGCACTAGTGCGCACAACGAGAGGGGGCGAGCGCGCGGCAGTAGCGAGCAGAGTGGCATTCATGTTCGAGACGAGAATGGCGGAGTGGCAGCTGCAAGGCGATGTGGTGGAGAGGGGGAAGTGGAAGGGATAAGAAGTTTTTTTTTTTTTTAATTTTAGAACGGTTGGGAGCGAGAGCGAGTGAATGAACGGTCGTTGGGCTGCATCGCGATCCACCATCGGCACTGTCCCGGTGTGGACGGACACCCTATACCTAGGCATCACAGTTCATTGAATCAGGATGCCAGGTTGAGCAGAGTGCTTTTGGTTGTCAGTATTGACATATGTTACATTGAACTGAAATGACAAAAAAAAAACAGGTACCACGATAATATTTATTTTGCTTGAATCGGTTGCATATCACTTATTTTTACCATATAAATCTTAATTTTCTTTGTAGTATATTAATATGCCTTAAATTATGCTATTCATATATTACTACCATCATTAAGGCCTTGTTTAGATGCCTCCCAAATTCCAAGTTTTTTCACTCTCTCTCCATCACATCAATTTTTAGCCGCTTGCATGGAGTATTAAATGTAGGTAAAAAAAATAACTAATTACACAGTTTAGTTGGAAATCACGAGATGAATCTTTTGAGCCTAGTTGGTCCACGATTGGACAATATTTGTCAAATAAGACGAAAGTGATACTATTCATCGGGTTGAAATTTTTTCGCAATCTAAACGAGGCCTAAGCTGCTATTATCTTGCATCCCGCGAGCCTGGCTCTGGAGAAACATATTTCATTCTCGTTTCTTGGGAGCCATGCTCGCTGGTTGCTTTTATATCTGCGGAGCCTGGTTCAAACTAGCATACGAGCAACCAAATGTTGCGCTGCTGCATCCAGGGAGTCAGGCCAGCCCACATGCAGGCAACCAGACATGCTAATGTGTATCTCGTCCCGAGTAAAATACATCGTGGGCTCCGAAAATTGTTTCAGGATTTCGTTTCATCTAGGTCCAGTTTAGTTCCAGAAAATTTTGCCAAATTTTTCAGATTCCTCGTCACATCGAATCTTTAGACGCATGCATAAAGCATTAAATATAAATAAAAAATAAAACTAATTACACAGTTTAGACAAAATTCACGAGACGAATCTTTTAAGCCTAATTAGACTATGATTGGACACTAATTGCCAAATAACAACGAAAAGTGCTACAGTGCATTTTGCAAAAAATTTCGCCATCTAAACAGGCCCCTAGCTGGGTCCATGAATGAACTCTCAAAATTGCATTATCAGTTCTTGGAACTTGTCAGGTGGGGGTATTTGAGGATATCCATGGAATGAATACCCATTATATTTGCTAATCAATGGTATTCAAGAATATAATCAATAATCCTCAATCAATTATATATACATGTCAGCAAAAATAGGGTTAAAGCAATCAAGTTTTTTTAATCTCTTCGAAATTTGAACACTCGTTCTCTAATAAGTCTAGGTCCGCGCCTCTGCTTGTCATGGCTTGTCATACAAGTCTTTTGAAAATGTTTCTCTAGGTTGCAAGGTGCAAATGCATGTCCACTAGAATGCTCCGCGCCTCGTCATGGTGGATCACCGTATCTCAGGTCTTGACTAGTGGGTAGTACCACGTTGACGGTATGGCACGTACACATGTTAGCCTTTGGCACTCCATCTCCGTGCTCCCCCGGACCCTAGCTAGCTAGTCCCTCGTGGCATCGTCATCGCCACCACGAACCCTGATTTATCTTCAATTGTGATGGCGGTAATAAGGTCTATGTTGGTGCTCACAGTCACAGCTTACCCTGATTTATCTGCCAGAATCTTCCTATCGATGGACTGCTGGCCGAAGGTATATTATTATATATATAGTAGAAAGAAGATAACGCCGAAGCTCTTCTTGTTTCAGGCCGGTCTCGGTCTCATCTGACTCGCTGACTGGGACCGATCGAGATATATATATATATATATATATATATATATATATATAGAGAGAGAGAGAGGATGCATCGTGCATATGCCGGCCCTTTGAAAGCTAGGCCTCGTTTACATCGGGGTTAGAAATCAGTATATGATATTGTAGCACTTTCGTTTGTATTTGATAATTATTGTCCAATCATGGCCTAAGTAGGCTCAAAAGATTCGTCTTGTAATTTACAATCAAACTATGTAATTAGTTATTTTTTATTTATATTTAATACTCTATACATGTGTCTAAAGATTTGATGTGATAAAAAAAGAGTAAAAAAACTTACAATCTAAACAAGGTCCTATAGAGGGCTAGTCATCCTTCCTTGCTTCACTAATGACTACGTACGTAGGCTCTTTTCGCTTGGTCTTACCGACGAGAATCAGTTCTACTTTTCATAAATAGAATTGTGTTTTTTTACGATAAATCAACTCTACAAATCAACCGCAACGATAATAAGTCCAGCCAAACAGCCCGATAATCTTGCTCTCTCCTCGTCATCCAATTTAATTAATCTTTTTTTTGTGAACACAACTTAATTAATCTTTAATTTCAAAACAACTTTCTTTGTTTTCAACTCCACCTTCCCCCGACTCCACCACGCTCCTCCAAAACAACTAGAAAGTTGAGCAAGACCACGTCATCCTACTTGCTTCAATAATTCATGCATGGTGTTAATTTGATAGAGATGGTGGCAGAGGGGACGATGATATATTATAGATGCAACCACAATTTGGTCCAGATTCAACACGCATGGTCTTCTTTAGGTTTTGCCGGTCAAGCTTCGTACTTAACTTTAACCATATAGGCCAGTCTTAATTAGAGTTTCAAAAAAAATTCATTCTCATCTAATGCTATGACACATTAAATTTGTTGAGTTGCCGGATTAATTATGAAAAGAGAGATGGAGATGAAACTCGATGTCATAGTTAGGCCAGTCTCAATGGAAGATTCATGTCTCTGTTTTCAAGACTCTCCGGTGTTGGAAACAGTGTAAACAAGTTTTATCTCCATGAAACTTATTTTATCCCGTAAAATGTTTTTCATCTCTCTCTTCATTTATATCTACATCAGTTTATTTAATGCCCATGAAACTC